GGCGCTCGCGAAGGAGCCGCTCGTGAAAGGATCGAGATGAACCTAGATGGGTGGTGGGGGTTGAATAAGTACAATTACAATTTTTAATTATTACTTATCAATTTTAGTCAATAATGCGGAATGGGTCCAACAATTGCAAGAGTGATTCCAGAGCTAGCAGTATAATCAACAACAACAAATAGATATGCAAATAACGAGTAACTACAAGCAAGGACTTAGGGCTATGGATTGCCGAAACTCCAGAGACGAGGATGTATCATGATGTTCACTTTCTTGAAGAGAAGCTAGCACCATTGGAGGGATGTGTGTTACTATGATGGCACACCAACACCACGCAGGCTCATCATATTCTCTTTGAGATATCACAACGAATGCGTTTGTGATCCATTATTGGTAGACCTTGAGGTGGTCTCGAAACCTTCTGGGGTGAATCACAACAATAGATTTCTCACCAAAGAACTCCTACCACATAGGAGTCTTTGACCTCCAAGAGTAACAAGATAAATGGTGAAAAGCTCAAGACTTACTCAAATTATGATTTCCTTTGGTCAAGAGATGGGGAAGGAGTGGACTATCACTTGGTGGAATATCTTTCAAGAACTCCCAAGAATCTCGATGGAATATAGGATTTGGTGAAGAGGAGAGAGGAGAGGGGGGGGGGCTTTTGTGTTCTAGGGTTTGCTCAAATGAAGTGGTCAACCCTCTATCGGAGTGGTAGAGGGGTATATATAACAAGCCAAGAAACTAGCCGTTTTTAAGTAGTGACTTTTGATGATCCACAAGTATATGAGATCAATCATAGTCCTTTCCATAAGTAAGAGCGTCGAACCCAACAAGGAGCAGAAAAAACCGGTAAGCGGTTTTTAGCAAGGTATTTCCTGCAAGTGTTGTAAGATAGTTTTGATAGCAAGTAACAAGTAACCAAAGTAACAAGGTGCAGCAGGGTGGCCCAGTCCTTATTATTCCTAAGGACAAGTCGGAGGAACTTCTTATAGTGATTAAAGCGTTGTTGAGGGCACACAAGAATTCATATAGTTACTTCCACCACCATTCGCCGCATTCATTGCTTTAATAAGTTGCTATGTGGGTGGACCGGAGCTAAGGTGCTATTCTTACTTGAACAAACAACCTACTTATGATTATCCCTCCATGCAAGCATCCGCAAATACAAGAGAAGAATTAAGATAAACCTAACCATAGCATTAAACATAAGGATCCAAAACAGCCCCTTATGAAACAACTCATAAATTGGGGTTTAGGTTTCCGTCACTCCTGCAACCCATCATCTACAAACTAATTCCATAATGCCTCCCCCTAGGTCCGAACATGGTGAAGTGTCATGTCGTCGATGTTCACACAACACCACTAGAGGAAGAACAACATAACATATCATCAAAAGACTAAAAGAAAACAAACTTCACATGATTACTAGTAACAAGACTTCTCCCATGTTCCCAAGAACAAATTAAATAGAACTACTTAGAAAGCATAATTGTGTTCATGATCAGAGGATATAAATATGTGATTAACAATCTGAACATACTTCCACCAAGTAAACAAAATAATATCAACTACAAGATGTAATCAATACTACTAACACCCGATACATCTCCAACGTATCTACTCCCTCCATCCGGAAATACTTGTCGAAGAAATGGATGAATCTAGACATATTTTAGTTATAGATGCATCCAATTTTATCCATCTCTCCGACAAGTATTTCAGGACGGAGGGAGTATAATTTATGAAGCATTCATGCCATGTTTACAACAATTTTATATGGTTTTGGTATGATTTGAATGGAACTAACCCGAAGTGACGCTGTTTTCAGTAGAACTACCGTGGTGTTGTTTTTTTGTGCAGAAATGAAAGTTCTCGGAATGGGTTGAAACTTTTTGACGATTTTTTTTCTCGAAGGAAAGAGACCCATGAAGCTTTTTGGGGGTGCAACTACACCCTAGCGCGTTGGCTAGGTCGTACATATCCATCTCTTGCCTTCAGATCGAGGTATCGAATCCCGTCGTGGCCTTGTTTACCCTGATAAAAGCCGGAATTTCTATACTCCCTCATGATGAAGCAATCTTTTCAGAGATGAGTGGCTAGCTTATCTTGAGTACCATGCTTCGTGCAAGGCTGATACATTATCGCCTCAAGATTGAATTTTGGTCCGCCAAACCGGGGCACTGATAACTTCCCCTTACGATGCTGATTATTATTCCGCGTGTTGGTATTAGCCACAAAGTCTGAACCACCGTCAGTTTGCTTGCGCTTACTGTTATTACCTTGACCCGCCACACCGTGCTGCTGTCCCTTTGCATTGCCGTTCTTCTTCCCCTTGCCAGCCTTCTCTTCATCAGACTCAGGGTCCTTAGTATTATCAAAATTGACATATTTGACAAGAGCTGCCATAAGCTCCCCCATATCATTGTAGTGGCGCTTAAGCCGCCCCAGCTTCTGTTTGAGGGGAAGGAAGCAGAATTTTTCTCCAAAATCAGGACAGCCGAGCCGACATTGATGTTATCCGACGAGTGGATAATGGCCGAGATCCGGCGTACCCAATGGGCGGTTGATCACCCTCACTCTGGAGACAAGTGTCTAAATCAAGAATGGACGTGGGCTGCTTGCATGTATCCTTGAAATTCTGAATAAAACGCACCTTTTATGCTATCCAGAAATTATATATCATTTCCAATCAACAATATGTCATCCACATATAATATTAGGAATGCTATAGAGCTCCCACTCACTTTCTCGTAAATACATGCTTCTCCAAAAGTCTGTATAAAACCGTATGCTTTGATCACCTCACTAAAGCATATATTCCAACTCCGAGATGCTTGCACCAGTCCATAAATGGATCGCTGGAGCTTGCACACTTTGTTAGCTCCTTTAGGATCGACAAAACCTTCTGGTTGCATCATATACAACTCTTCTTTTAGAAATCCATTAAGGAATGCAGTTTTGACATCCATTTGCCAGTTTTCATAATCATAAAATGCGGCAATTGCTAACATGATTCAGACAGACTTAAGAATTGCTACGGGTGAGAAAGTCTCATTGTAGCCAACTCCTTGAACTTGTCGAAAACCCTTTGCAACAAGTCGAGCTTTATAGATAGTAACATTACCATCAGCATCAACCTTCTTCTTGAAGATCCATTTCTTCGCTATGGGTCGCCGATCATCGGGTAGATCCACCAAAGTCCACACTTTGTTCTCATACATGGATCCTATCTCAGATTTCATGGCCTCAAGCCATTTATCGGAATCTGGACTCATCATAGCTTCTTCATAGTTCGTAGGTTCGTCATGATCAAGTAGCATGTGTTGGGGAACGTAGTAATTTCTAGAATTTTCCTACGCACATGCGAGATCATGGTGATGCATAGCAACGAGAGGGGAGAGTGTCATCCACATACCCTCATAGACCATAAGCGGAAGCGTTATGACAACGTGGTTGATGTAGTCGTACGTCTTCACAATCGACTGATCCTAGTACCGAATGTACGGCACCTCCGCGATCTGCAAACATTCAGCTCGGTGACGTCCCACGAAATCACGATCTAGTAGAGCTTCGAGGGAGAGTTCCGTCAGCATGACGGTGTCATGATAGTGTTGATGAAGCTACCGACATAGGGCTTCTCCTAAGCACCGCTACGATATGACCGAGGTGGAT